GACAGACTTCCATGTATGATTCTTATCATCGCATAGTCTCATTTGCATGAGCCATACTTGATCCTCATAATGAATATCAATCAATTGAAAGATTGATCCCAACATCAGGAGTACTTCTTGTTCGTGAGCAAAATAACTGTAATTGGTAATATTAGCAAATGGTTTGACACCATCGAGTCGAGGATCGGCATCAATTGTAATTAAGACACGTTGTGAATCATCTGAGATATTAGTAGCATTAAGAAAACGAAGTGCTTGTTCTCGCTCGATACTTGTTGAAAGAAATGAGTTCATAGAGATGAAACGTCCAATAGAATCTTTCAATACTTTTAATTCTTCGTTCGACATTAATTGACCTCGATAGACGCGTATAGGCGTCAAACATTTATGTTGTTCAAGTTGTTGTTCGATATCACGAATAAAAAATCGAAAGAGAAAGATCATGTCTGTATTTTGTACACGAAGAGCTTTGTTTAATAACCGATAAAGAAACGAATCTCTTGTATACCACCATAAAGCTTGATTAGGAGAATAATTTTGTTCAAATTCCTTGACAATTGCTAATTCTTTCTCATTATCTTTGTATTTTTCCTTGCATAAATCGATTAAATCATTCTTGTCCGTTGGATTTGATTTCATTCGAAGAAGAACATCAATCGATACTTCTGAATGAATAAATTTACTATTGAGTTCAGTTGTTGATTTATCTAGAGCACTATTCGGTGTAAAAATACTGACTGCAAGTGGTTCATCAACTTTAAATCTTATGTTCACTTGATCTGATTGAATTTTAGCTAATATTGCCTCCAAAGTTCTATGAACACCTTTGATCTAAAACAATCAACAGATTATAATGCACCTTTTTTGTTTTTGGCAATTCTATCCTCAGATTTTTTGCTTTCTTTGAAACGTCACTATTTGTTGACGAACATAATATACGACATTCTAACCTACTCATGTAGAAAATCTTAATGAAAAATTGAATTTAAATATATGACTTTAGTAAGATTCAAAACTAGTACAATCTAAATCAAGAAA